GCAGCAGACAAATGCCTGGTTTAATGTGTGATATTCTAAAAACCTGTAGGTACATTGTGCACATGGCACTTCTGCTTTACAAAATAGATAATTTGCCACTTGGGACCGAAAAAGCTTCCAGCAAGGGCTTTTTGTCTGATTTGGAACCAGGAGATGGATGGATCTAAGAAGAGGAAAGAGAATGAAAAGACCATATTAGTATGGAACCAGGTCATCCGTTGAAGGCCATCTTTCAGCTTGATTGAAAGCTGAGGTTGGCAGCATTTCCAAAATTCCATTCTGTTAATATTGAGAATTAAAACTTCTAATACATTTGTAGTTGTAACATATGCAAAGCATAGGAGATACAGCTTCGAGAAAGAGTGTGCATTTGAATATGTTCTTTATGATATATTCTTCAGAATACCTGAGCTCTCTAAACCGTATATTATAGATGTTAGTGCAATTCTTCCACAACAGGTTGGAAAGGTATATGTTCAACAGTGAGATACAATTACATCATCTAACTTTCCACATGAAAATTTCTAAGTTCTGAAACCTATGGGTACTGGGAGAATAGGAGTACTAGTTCTATGTGAACTAGTTCAAGGTCCATCATGACTCGCACTGAATCAAAGCTGCTCTGTTGGACTTTCGATGTCTGCACTGTGCTGCTTGGCAGTTTAATTTGGTGGGCTCTGTTCAGGTTGTGCAGCACCAAATGGAAGAATCTTCACCTAGCCCTGCAGCCAGGGCTGCGTGGGAGCTGCTGGAGACCAGGTAGATATGGGGTAGATATGGAAAAACTTGCAATTTCTCCACTCAAGAGCTACTTTGAGAAGTACCTCAGGTCTGTCAAAATTGGGGTTGTGCGCTTAGTAGTGCCAGAGACTGCTTTATGGACTCACGATGACTATAGAAGCAGCGCTGTGCAAGTGTGCTTGTGCTCTGACTGAAATAAATTTGTAGAATCATAGAATAACCTGAGTTGGAAGGAACCTACAAGGATCATCAAGTCCAACAGTTGTCTCCACACAGGACCACCCAAAAATCAAACCCTATATCTGAGAGCGTTGCCCAAATGTTCCTTAAATTCCAGCAGCTAAGTTCCATCCCCACTGCCCTGGGGAGCCTGCGCCAGGGTCGGACAACCTTCTGGTGCAGACCCTGTCCCCAGCCCCCACCCGCCCCTCCCCTGGCACAGCTCCATGCCGTTCCCTCGGGCCCTGTCGCTGTCACACAGAGCAGAGCTCAGCGCTGCCCCTCCGCTCCCTGTGAGGAGCTGCAGCCGCCATCAGGCCTCCCCTCAGCTCCTCTGCTCTGGGCTGAGCAAACCCAGGGACCTCAGCCACATGCATCTTGCCCTTTGGAACCTTTACCATCTCTATAGCCCTCCTTTGGATGCTCGCTAATGGTTTTATGTTATTCTTACATTGTGGTACCCCAACTGTATGAAGTGCTTGAGGTGAGATTGCACAGACCCCAATATACTTCTGCATTAAGCCAGCATTGTCCTGTTGCATGTTTGATGTACAGCCTAGATGACTTAGAGTTTACTGTACTCTGCTGCAGAAGTTATTATATTGTATAGAGCTATTGTTCAATTAGTTTTCAAAGCTGACCTGCTTTGCTCTACTTGGACCAAGTTGCTCACCACTTCCAAATGGTCAGCATTCTTTTTACACAGATTATTGATGGCTGTCAAAGGAGAGAGATGAAGGAAGATGTCCCAGATGACTTACAAGCGGCGAGGCACTGTGTTGTGTCCTGGGAAGGGAAATGACTTGGGGCAGGAGTTTTAGATATGATGTGGATCTAATGTGCTCTGTGTGTTTTTGGATGAACCCTTCTCATCTCTAGGCATGTGAGCTGTATAGTATAAAGCACTGTTTTTTTTCTCCTTTGTTTTTCTTTTAAGCATGCCAACAGCAGAAATTAGCCCATACATCATATTGTTAAATATTTCCTGCCTTTGGGAGAATCCGTGTTGAATACATTTCTGTACAGAAATCCTAAAGAGGCAATTCTTTGCAGCTTCTGTGAATGTATCACCTAAAACAGCTGCAAAATCAAATATTGTAAAATGAAATGTAGTCACCATGAAGTTCACCTCAGTTGAAAGGACTCTAAGCTCTCAGCATTTTGTAACAGTGTATGCCTCTGTTGATGAGTGTTCCACATACAACAACTAAAGTGAATTATTAAATAAAAATGCACCATTTTGAGAGGCTGACTATATATCTAAACAAACAAGATGTATTGTATTTATGAATGCCTTTGCCTGTGGTTTTGAATTGTTCACTTGTGAAGTTGCTCCCAGTGGGAGAGGCAAAAACGTGATAATCTTAATACATAAGTTTATAGAGCTTCTTTATGAAAGCTGGTTAGCTCAGGTGCTCTTGAACATGCTCAAAAAGCAAATTACCATAAATGTATTGATAGTTTAAAAGGCAGACTTAGCACTTAGCTGTAGCAGCCTATTACAAGGAGTCTTAACTGTTTTTGAAATCCAGTAATTGAAATTGTTGTATTTTGGCAAATTATCAAAATCAATTTCCTGTTACAGGAATAGATTTTCATATATTTGACTTCTCTGCAAGAAACCCTTCCTCAATGTAAGTTCTTTCATGTTTGAATGACATGGCTCAGCTACAGCTCAATCACAAACAGTTCTATTGGTTTGAAATTCCATGAGCGGTGAGGTTACTTTCTGAAGCCTGCGTGCTTTGCGGTGCTCAGCTGCAGTTCAGTGGCCCCTCTTTGAGTACCCAAGGAGGAGAAAGGGAGGGAAGGAGCCTTAAAAGACTAAATCACTGTTGAGAGATGTGAATTTGTTCTTTTTCTTACTTGTTTTATTTTTTTTATTGTGATTTTTTGTCTTAGTTGACTTCTGTTCCTTGTGGCAAAGATCTTCTTTTTAATTCTTTTTTCTCTCTGTATCATTTTATGGTACTAGGCACTAGATAAACGAGCTTCTATACTGAATTTCCCAGCTGTACTCTAACAGAAATATTTTATGTAGGTTGCTCTCAAAGTAATGCCTTCTATTTATTTCTATGGAAAGTGCAACAGATACAAAGTGTGCAATAACACTGCTTGGTAGATGAAATACTCAGCTACAAAACGCTGTTTTTCACCATAGTCATCACCATTAGCTATGTGTTTTTGCCATGATGAACAAGAGTCTGCCTACTGTGCTCATAAAAATCTGCATGGCTGTGTGGAACGTGGCTTGTCTTTCACATCACTGTTGCCACTGCTGAAATGCACCACCCACCACCTCACTGTTGTCACATCCACTGGTTGGTCTCCATAAACATTCAGGAAGTCAGTGAATTTCATTTTGCCTTTTTTTCCACATCGAGGAATTTAGTGACATACTTCTGCTTCATCCATGCTTCCATGTCAGACTCCATTCTGTTAGACTGCCCCTCAGCTGCCATCTGTCACACAGCAACAACATGGAATGAAATACTGGTGGGAAGATTCTACCTCTACTGCCATACCACCAACATCTGCCTCTGACTTTGTAAGCCATCATAATAAAAAAGGAGGGATTACTTTCAGAGCAGCCCTTGTAATTTGCCCTCTGGAATTCAAATTATTCCAAGTTGAGAACTTGTGGAATAGATTTTTTTTTTCCACATCCCTGCTCTTTATAAGTTTCTCTGGTCATGGTGCTGTCCACAACTCTGGGCAACAAATCTGCATCAAAAATTCACTACTGTCTTACTTTGGTAACATCAGATTATTCCTTCAGGTAACTAGAGTATTGGTGAGATTGTCACCCAGCCATCGTGAGAAGTAGTGTTTCACTCATCCATCTCCTGGAGCAATCTTTCAATCAAGAGAGATGATAATTTTGTTTCTATATCACAGGTGTTTTCCATCTGAAATGATAAGCCTGTGCATCAACTTCCCCTCTGTTCTTCCTATTTTCTTATGAATTACTATGACAGAAGTTGAAACAGTTCTGAGGCAAATTTTCATGAAAATATCTTGTATGCTCACTTGTTACAGCACACTGAGTCACTTCACTGATTTTGGTCTCAGTACAGTGGGTGTTTTTCAAGGTATCGCTTAGAGTTCTCACCTTTACTCACCTGAAAAGCATACGCTCTTATGTTTGCTAGCTGATACAAGCTGGGTTTTTGTTATTAAGTAATCCATTGCTCATCTTCTTCTCTCTGTGAGTTAGTGTGGACTTAGCTCATGAGTGAGTATTTAATTGAATTCTAAGAACTAGAAGGTTTCATTTCAGGTTAGAATTTTCATGTTCAAGAAACTGTGTTGTGTGTCCTGATAGAATGTGGTCAAATGCTTCTGATGCCAGCTTTTAGAGTATATGTGTTCTGACAGGTGTATTCTATTAGTACTGCAGTACATGTTGTTTTTTTGTTGTTGTTTGGTTGGTTTTTTGTTTTGTTTTGTTTTGGTTTTTTTCTGTGAAGAATACACAACAGGATTTGTCATTACCTTCAGGGAATTTGTTGGAGTTAAAACACTGTAAGGCCAACAGTAGGTTTAGCTGTGATACCTGAAAGGTCATCTTTTTACTTTTTGAGATATGGATTGTGTGCTTCAGTACTGCAGTACACTTAAAATGTACTCCTTTTTCATTTGAGGGGACTGGCAGCGGGTGGTGAAGTATTCTTCCAGAAGGTTTCATGGTTTGGAGCTCATTCCATGCAAGTCTGGATATAGCACTTAGGAGAAGAGAACGCATTGTAAATTCTTGTCTCCAAAAGCTTAAAAAAAAAAACCAAGACAAAGCAAACCTCAACTGTTGTATTTATTAATAATGCAAGTGAATCAAAAGGCCACAATGGGCTTAATTTTGATATGCTATTTTAATGAAGTATATGTGTATATATATATATGTATATATAATTTTGGTGGTGGTTTATTTTTTTTAATCGAGTGTTAATATTACTAACTGCTGTATAGAAATTTTTAGACTATTGTTGTAAAGTCTAAGCTTTATGTGTATATACATACGTTGTATATATATGTGCACACAGGAAACCTCGACCCGTCTCTCAGCTGGTTGCACAGCAAGTTCCTCAGCAATTCGTGCCCCCTACACAGTCAAAGAAAGAGAAAAAAGACAAAGTAGAAAAGGAAAAAAGTGAAAAGGAAACAACTAGCAAAAAGAACAGTCATAAGAAAACCAGGTAATAACTTTAGCAACTTTTGTTGTATTGGTAAAACATAATTGGAAAAGAAAATATGAAAAAAAATGTTCTGTGATTTTACTGCTTTGTGAGTCCTGTGGCATACTCTTTCAACAATAATGCTAAATATTTGATGTTCCATTGTTGTAGGATGCCTATTATGCACAATGAAAAGTTGCAGTTTGTTATTTTAACCAGAAGATGGAGACCAGCTGAATTTAGAAAGAGTTGGATATTTTTGTTAAGGGATTCAACTGCTTTTTCACACCACATACAATGGTAGACATGCAAAACATGATTGCTAGGCTCAGGAAAAGAGAGGGAACTGGAGGGACTAATTACCATGCAGAATATTGCTGGGAGAGGCAGGAAGAATGGAGAAGAAATGGGGGTAAAAGGAGACAGGGAAGAGAGATGGAGAGAGAGAATGCATCTTATTACAGGAGAGTGGGAAGGTGACATAGTTACAAGGAGATTTTGAAAGGCTGAACTAGTATAGAAATTAATGTGACAGGGTAAGATATGTATATTACCTACTGATAAAAATCTCAGCATCTCAAATCTATTTGGGATACTGAATGAAAGTCCTGGACTCTTGGAATGGAAATCATGACACATTGGAATACAAGCAGCCATTGTAAAAGCCTCGTTCTTGACCAGAAGAAACCTCCAAAACAAAGGCAGCAAATCCAGCCCCCAAACCATCACAGCCTAAGCATAACATTATTGCAGCAGAAGTGTGGTGTCAGAAAGCTCAGCAGTATACAAGACATGTAGTCTAATCAAAAGTGGGAGGAACTATTGATTTTTTTTGGAAGCATTCCAGAATAGTCCAGCCAAGGAAGATCCTTTGGGATTAGTTATGCAGAGAAGTAGCAGATGCTTCTCTTGTGCCTGAAATAGGATCATCAGGATCAGAAGCTGGGAGGGATTTTGAGTCAGGAGAGAACAGTCTTTAAAATAGTTACAGTTAGGATTAGGGAGACTGAGATGTTCCAGCAGGAAGAATGCGTTTACTTTTTTCTCTAATACTCAGATGTACTATCTGTCTTACCACATGCAGTTGAAGCACTTCAGTTAAGAAGTACCTAAAGTTAAAATAGTAAGTATTTATGAAGCTAATTAAATATTATAAAATGGAAATAATCATTATTGGATTGCAGTAGTCCATTAAAAATGCAAAAGACAGGCAGGGAAGAAGAGAAAACGCTTAAAAAAAAAAAAAAAACAACTAAAAAATCTTGGGTGAACTACTGGTATTGAGATTTGCATTAAGAATAGCTATTGGAAAAAAATACTTAAGCAGTTCAAGCAGTTTTTCACAGATTTGATTCACTGGATACAAATGCTTAGTTAGTTTAAGCAGATTCCTTCAGTATCCTCCAGGGAAGAGGATATCCTTTTCTCATTGCCTGAAAACTTATATATTATTGCTGGAAACAATCATAAAATCTGAATGCACACTGAATATGATTAACAAGCTTCAGGCATACCACTTATGCAGGTTGATAATGCTGAACTTTTCTCTCTGTTCCCATGCTATAGAGCAGCAGCATTTCAGTTCTTTTAGATTCTTCAGCTGCACTACTTCAGCCCCAAGGGAACAAGATGTCAAATCCTTGTTCTATTCTAGCAGAGGAAAAGCAGGAGGTGTTTCAGCTGAAGTGGCTGGGAACCAATTCTACTTCAAACAAAGTCAGATGATAGGGTAAAGGTTAGGACTTTGCTGTTAGCACACCTGCTAACATATGATGTCATATGAATTTATTTTATTGCAGCTTGAGCTGGTGAAAGCTGTGGAGTCAGTTAAGTGCACAAAGCTATGCCATTCAAAATTGCTTGTATAAATTCACCTGTCTCATGACAGTTTGCCGTGATAGTCAAAGGAGAATTCTGAATTTAAAGTCCTTTATGCTCATCACTAGCAAAAATGTGATGGCAGAGTATCAGTCAGTGTTCTTTTATGATTCTTCATGTTGTGAAAATCAAACAAATGAAAGAATAGATGAAGAGACTTAATTTATCTGTGCTATATGATTACTGAGCTCTTTGCATATCTTAAATCACAGCATGTGTTAGGGATGCCAGAATTATTCTGTGAAGGGCAATATAAATACCGCACTAGCAGACTTATTGAGATTTTTAAATGAAATACAACTGCTGCACTTCTGTGTGGAATTTGTAGCTAACGCTGCACTGTTGAATTCAGAAGGCACAGGTGAGCTTTTGGGACACAAACATCCTCATTATTGAACACCATTTGCTACCTAGAATTGTTGCGTAAGGCTGCTGCAAGGACACATCCTTTCCTGGGTCAGATTTATAACTTCTTCTAGCCACAGTAATGAAAACCATAATTAAATAATAATTTAAGTAAAAATAAACGAGTTGCACATGTGAAGATTTGTATTGTAACAGTTAAAATATTCACATAATAAATTTTCACATAATCTTAGTTGAAGGTGGAAAAGGTGTTATTCTCACCTATTTTTAAACTTAAACTTATGGGAAATACTCTACCATAAGCACTTGTGCTACGTTGTCATTTTATGTATTACATGTACCACAAAGCAGTACTATGCAGATGTTATTTGTATGTTCTCCAGAGCACTTAGTAAGAGAGAGAAAGACAAGGTAATGAGATGGTGTGTGTGTTTCTAATATGATTCATTAGTGTTTCTAATATGATTCATTATGCTTTATTTAGGCCACGATTGAAAAATGTGGATCGAAGTAGTGCTCAGCATTTGGAAGTTACCGTTGGAGATCTGACGGTCATCATTACAGACTTTAAGGAGAAAACTAAGTCACCACCTGCTTCCAGTGCTGCTTCTGCAGATCAACACAGTCAGAGCGGCTCTAGCTCTGATAACACAGAGAGGGGAATGTCCAGGTCATCTTCACCCAGAGGAGAAGCGTCATCACTGAACGGGGAATCTCATTAAAGTTTATTTCCTCCAGTTTCTTTAGTCTCTTCTCTTTAAAACATGCAAATATGTAACTTCTGCCACCTGTTACCACATTTTCATGACAGATTATCCATGCACAATTGGTATGTTTACTGAAACATAATTTATGCAGTTTAGAAAGAAGAAAAAAAGTGCAGTAGAAATAATTTAAATGCAATCTAAAAATGCTCACGAAGCATTTTCTGACCAACTGTTTAATCTTCGTGTGTAAAGGTGCCATGAAAATGTGGTTTGAATGTTCATACACAGTGTTACTGGTAAGTCCATCTTCACTTTTAGTTTAGTGAATTCTAACAACTCTTGGAGTCTCTACTATTGGCATGTACTGAATTTAAATTTTTATAACATAGTTCAAGCTGCCTAAATATGTATTATCTGAGAATTGTGAAACATAGTTATATGTATGCAAGTCAAAGATCAACTTAATCAACTATTGCTGCAACAGAATTTTCATAATAATTATCTTAAAAACACCTGCTGGTACTTGGTGTGGTTAAATAGGAAAATGTTATTAAATAAAACATTTGTATGAATTTTTGCCAATGTTTGACACATTTTACTAGATTACTGTTAATGAATTATGTTAATGGTTTTACCAATATTTTTTCACACTTAAAACACTTATTGAAATGTTTACAAGCAAATACAAAAAAAAAAAAAGTAAATCCATTCTAAACATCAATTGGTTAACTCTACAATTCAGGAAGAGTCACTGTCACTATACACTGGTATTCTACATTTAACCTCAGATGATAGCATTTGGCAGAACTAACATTGAGAAATACAAAAGCTTGGTAAAGCTTTAAAAATGACTGAAGTACAGTTTTTGTTTCTGCTTAGTGCTGTTCCCTTGCTCCAGATTTGCCTAGCGTTATATAATCAGTTACCATTTCATTACAGAAATACCAGATGTTGCACAAGAGTAAGGAAATAACAATACTATTACTATTTTTTTTTTTAATTTTGGATCAACTTCTTTTTATTTTGATTTGGCCTATTAGAAAATATTATGTCATAAATGATGTGTAAAAACCCCACAGTATCCTACTTTATGGCATAAACTGTCAATATTTTATGCACTTAGCAATATACTGATACAGAGCAGAACTATTTACAATCCCATCTGGTATTATGTAAAATTACCAATAAAATATTTTTGTGAATACAGATTTTTGCATTTTTGTTTACAGCCAATAAGTGTTTTGATATACACACATCCAATCCATGTATAGATTTAAATTATAGATTTGGGTTGAGTACAAAAGTCCATTTAGCTCCTTTCAGTGAGATGGTCCACTTACACTCATGTGATTCTTCTTTTCTTCTTCTTTTTTCTTTTTTTTTTCTTTTTTTTTTTTTTTTTACATTCAAAATACATAAGTTTACGCCCATGTAAAAGTTGAATGGACCTTTTTGGTAGTGAATCCTAAATTATTCCCAACATGTGGCACATCTTCATAACAGCTAAAAGAATGGATTTTTGTAGCCCCTGACAATTGTGATGTTTGGTGGTTTCTTGTAGTAATGTATTTTTCTGTTTTTAATGCAGTACTTCTACAGGCACAATAGTACTGTTCTATTTTGTAAGATGCTAGTTGTGAAATACAGTTAGTTGCATAAAATGAAAGTCTGATGTGATATCTGAGAACATACATACCTCATTCCTTGGTGTTGCTATTTAAACTTTTTAGACATCAAATGTTAATTATAGGCTATTTCAGGTAGATAACTACTGACCTGTTTATTATGTATTCTGCTTTATCTTACTAAATAGGATGTCTGTTCATTGCAATTACTTGGCCAAATCTTAGTATCTGTAAAAAAAAAAAAAAAAAAAAAAGAAAGGAAAGAAAAAAAGAAAAAAAGAAAAAAAAAAAGCATTTCAAGATTCTTAAATGTTTTTGGGGCTGGGCTGTTGTTCTGAATAACATATACTAGTTTTTAGAAAAAAAAATACATGCTTCTCAAATTTATTTTTTTATGTTTTATTTTTAGGTGGGACTATTTGCAGAGTATACTGGTGTAATGGATTACAAGAGAGCTGAAACTGTTTAAAGTAAGCAGTTTAATGGTAGAATCACATAGCAAGATGTTTCATGAAATGTGTTTCTAGTTTAAAGTGTAGTGAATGCTAACACATTTCAGTATTCCTTGCAAACTAATAATAATCTATTACCAGTAGTTCACTGAATGGGATATTTATTTTCATTTAACATTATGTGAATAGACCACCCAGCACTACCAACAAGAGGTCTCTTTGTATCTTCAGAAATAAGTAGCCATTTGGTTTGGAAGTAAGGGAGGATGGAGGGGACTTCACTACGTTTCAACTGTCTCTAGAGAATAATCTCATGAATGTGATACAAGTATAGTAATAGTCAAAAAGAATGCAGAAGAGTCTTATGGAAATCAGTGTTCTTCATGGAATAATATATCTGACTACAGATATAACAGATAAAAGGCAGGACAGCTGTGGTGGTTCTAACTGAAATACTGCATAGCCAGTGTTTTACATTGGCAGTGATGCCTGTTTTGGCATTAAACAAAGTTAAGATAATTTTTGTCTGTTTGTAGTTAAAGGGATGTGACAATACTGAGAGCAGAGTAGACAAAATTCTAAGTAGATATGGCAATTTGTTCATAATGTTCTAATTTAAATGAACTTCACTATCATAATTTCTAAGTAATTTTGACTTGCAGTAATCCTAAGATGTTTTTTTAAGTGTAAATATATTTAAAAGCATCTTTACTCCACTTATAAAAAGTGAAAATTTAATGTTGTAATGTATTTTGATTAGCTATTTTACTGTGACTGTTCTCTCCATAAGAATTGTTGTTTGTAAAAATCTGTATATGCACCAGTCTTCAACAGCCATACATTCTGGGTTGCTTATGAGGTGATGATGCAACAAAGGCGAGCGTGATAATATTTCATGTAAATGAGTTCCTTTATGTGCTGATTGTCTGGCTTCAGTAAGGAAAAGGGGGAGGAAATGGGGGAAAACGGCCTTTAATTAATTCACTGATAAAGTGTATAACAGTTTGGTCCTTTATCTTCCTAACTTTACCACTAACTGTAGGTGGTGTAAGGAAAAGAGACACTGTTAATAGACAGATCTTTTAATTTCTTCTGAAGTTATGTTTGCATCTTGGAAAGAAACAAAACTTGTTCTGCTTAGTTAGCAGGTTCAAGTATGCTGTATAAAGTCTTGATTCTAACAGCAGTTAAAACTAAACAAAGAGAACTCTTAACCTCTCAGAGATTCTCAGTATTAAGTCTCTAAATTAAGCCTGAAGTTTTAAATAGTTTTAAAGTTTAAAACTATTCAAAGCTTCTCTAGATATTTCCTGTTTTGTGGCAGATTGCAAAATCTCAAAAAATGTTTGGAGTTTATAATCTGTGCACTTTTTAAAATATGATGGATAGGATATTTTTCAGTAGCCATATAAGACAGAATACTTTTTATAATTTGTTTCCACAAGTTCTTTACAGTGGTCAGGCAAGTCTTCTAGACTAGAAATGCATATGACTCTGCATCTTATGTTCTCCATTTTTTCTCTCTCCTGTCTCAAAAGCATGATGGTTTTGAGTTGCTGATTGACTATTGCTTTGTTACACAGGAGGAATTTGGCACTGAATTCTCTATTGTGTACTTCTATGCACATCCAGCATTCTTTAACCATATCTGCATCTTTCTCTCTGTCACATGTCTTTAGTTGACTGCTGCCATTAGGGAGTCTTCCCTTCAAATACCAGAAACCACGTGGAAAAGGAAGGATGGAGAGTTTCTTCTCCAGCAGCAGCAAGCACTGTACATGTAAGCCTGTCCTGTGCTAACTCAGGAATAAGATAGATAAAATTGAAAATGAATGCTGTTTTTGGTGGCAGACCACTCAAGCACATTTTGCAAACGCATTCTTCTGTTTTAATGTTAAGATTTGGGAAATACCATTTGAGCTTTTGAAGGTTTTTCTTAACTGAATTATGCCCCCAACTTGTGACAGTGTTAGCTTCAAGGAGTATAACCTCATAAATGGACAAAAGCTGTACCATAAAATCAGTCGAATTGAGGAGAAATTTATTGATTTTCTTCAGTACTGTCAAAATTCTAACCAGGAGATGGAGATTTAAGAGATTTTTCTGAGACAGATACTGAGTCTAGTTTGGTGTAAAAAAAAGATTAAAATAATGCTTTAATAAGAATTTACAGAATTTAATTATTAAAATAAAAATGTACTTCACAAGTTAATCACATATCAGTACTTCACAGAAATTATTGTAACTTCCTGTCTAGATGGATATGAATGGAGTAAATGGCGCAACTGCAAAGAATGGCTGTACCCTTGCTAGTAAATGGTACTATCCAACAGAAAGTGACTTGCCTTAGACTTTGTGTAGGAAGACTGTGTTGTGTCTGTGTACAAAGCCTAGGAGTCCATGTATACCCGTCTTTGCTGTTGGTTTCAAACAGTGAAAGAAAATGCATCCAACAAAATAAATTAGCTGCACATCCTAGAGTCTTATTTATGCAGGAGCTGTGTATAGTTGTGTTTGACCATATAGGTGAAAAATACCTCCCTTGTATAACACGTAATCCCTTGGAAGTTGATTTCCATCCTAATCTTGCCCCTTTTATTTATGGGAAATAAATGAATGTCATCCAAAATAACTTGTTCTGTCCACTGACACAGGGAATTTTTAAGGGTAGACAGTTAAATGTGCACAAGAAGTTTTAGATTTACTTTTAAGGAATTAAATATAAAAGATGAACAAAAGCTCCATAGCTCAAATTAGTATTTGTAAGTGTAGTCATGATTGATTGCTGTGTCATTTTGTGTTTGTAAAAGACAAAATGATAATCTAACCTAAACACTCCTTTTTCCCATATGTTTGAAAAGAAAATGACCACCAGAAATTATACTTTTCTGGTAACAAAAATTTAAAGAATTTTTCCAAGATCCTGTTTGTTTGTTTTTCTTTTTTTCTATTTTTCTTTTCTTTTCTTTTCTTTTTTTTTTTTTTTTTTTTGGAGGAGGAGAGTATGGTATGTCTTGATGAAGATAGGAATTTCCAAGCAAGAAATCCTTCAGGAATATGTTTTCAGGATCTGGCCCAGGTGGAAAAGATACATCTTTAATTACACCATTCTCGTTTATAAATACTGATTGTAGTCAAAGTGCTTGCAAAGTGAACAAGCTCCCTTAAACTTAAAGTCTTCACTATTGCTTGAGGCCAACTGATCTCTAATTTGCAGAGGACATACTGAGAAGATGGCTAAGGAAAAGAGCACGCTGATCTGTTTTTCATAACTAACTGCTAACTGTGTGCTCTTAATGTACTTAATGTGTGAAGAAGCAAAAGTGTACGCGAGCAGAATGTATGTAAGCAGCACTGATGGAATCTGGCTCTCTACTCCCTTCTCAAATGCACCAGTCTACAAGCTGCAAATTCTTCTGCTTCAGAGGTAGTCATGGGTGCTTGGTTGGTCAGTAAAGCATCAGTTAGTTAAGCGAAATCAGTGGTCAGGCCAAGATTCTACCTTCTGAACATCCACTTTGGGACTACAGGGATCTAAATTGTAACTGAACAATCAATACGCAACTGCCATCCCTGAGCATGAAATAATCTATGTCAGGCTGATGCTTCTTTGCAGAGAATAAATCAGAATGCTTCAATGTGAAGCCCAGTTCTCTTACTGTAACAGCCTTCAGCTATGAATTAACCTAACCAAGGAAAATCTCTTAAGATTACACGTGTTTGTTGAGTCTTGTTAGTCTCACCTCTGAAGGGAATGCAGAATTCTGATTCCTTCTGTCTTTGTTTTTATTGAGGTACATCTACAGGGTAACTGGATGCAGTGATTTTGAAATAATTTAATATGCTGACATTTCTAAATAGGAAATTTACTGCTATTCAGAGTTTTTCAGCTGTATCTTGGTTTCTGTAAGACTGTCAATGCTGTGTGGAGCTTGGAGATCATCTATCAGTATTGTCAGTCATCCATATCTCTACATTATTGACTTACTGAAAATAATTCTTGCTGAACAAACTTAGTCTCATCCTATACCATTCAAGGATTCTGGTGGAGGTAGCTGGCTTTCTGGGATACCAATTACTGGTCTTCACACCTATATTTCTGCAAAGGGTCTGATTCTGTTGTGGGGCTTCCAAATGCAAAGGAATAAGCTAAATGCTTTCCCACTGATGGAGGTATAGCACTGCTAGGTAACTAGATCGGAAGTTTTTTTTTTTTTTTTGCAAGGTTAAAGAAAATACTCTTGATGCTGGCTGGAGATAGGGATCCCTGGAGGAGCATGTGCAGACACTGAGGACTACATTTTCTACAGAAATTGAGTAGGCAGCATCAGTTTCTAAAATGTAAACAACTTCTAACAAAAAGACTGAGAGTAATTGAGAGTAATAGGAAAAATGAAAAAAAAAAAGTTCAGAACAATACCTGGAACAGCTACTACATAATGACTTCTTTAGTACAGTGTTTTCTTCTGTGTACAGTGTTGAAGGTAGGGAGTATCTCACACGTTGTGTGTTTTCTGTATAGCTCTTTATACCTGTTGGTTCAGTGACTTTTAGCCAAAAGACAGATAGAGGTTTTTATGAATTTCATGATCATTTCTCTCTTGGGTATAGATAATGTATTGAAAGGGCAGTTGTTCTGGTTAAAGAGAACAAAATAGCTTCCTCGTCTATATTTAGATACTGCACAGTTTTAGAGGGTTTGATTCCTGGGCTATTAGAAAAGGGATAACTTTGTGTTGGAAAGGTAGTAAGGATCCAGACTAGAATGGATGTGGCTCCTGAAGAGAGTTTTGTGGCAGTTCATATGGCTGTTTTCAGTGATTAATCTACACTTTAGCCAGTTAATCTTGACGTGTTAATAGGCACCATCACAGACAGATCAAAACTACCAACACTGTTGGATGCTCTTAAAATTTATTAAGTGCCTTATACAGAGCATCAAAGAGGCTATGATTCAATTGGAACGAAGTTTGTTAAGAGATCTACTCCTCGGATGGAGTTACAAGTTGTTGGTGTAACGAAGGTGATGTTCCTGGTTATAAAGCTAGAATCTTATATTTTAGTGCTCATACAAATACCTAATAAGAAACAGTCCAGAAATTTCAGAGGCTTTCAATTCGTAAAACATATGTTCTTTGGAGGAGATTTTTTTTTCCTTGTAGTCAGCTGTGATAGCCTGCTTGGAATATCACAGAAGTGAATAAAACTTGAGTACTTTTGGATGCTTTCACACTTCTCAATTTCCCAATCAATAGTAGTACTACCTTTCTTGAGAAGGGGTACATAAGTTGGTTTTATTAATAGGATTTATGTTTATCTAATATAGTTTTTAAGAGTTTTATTGTCAGAAAAAGGGCTTGTTATTTTGAAAATAAAAATCTTACCTGCCAGGTGTCTTCCCCAAAATGAGTAAGTGCCTTTTCTGTTCTGACTCTTAGAAGTATTTACGTTGTCAGATTGAATCTGAATGTCCTGGATAAACCAAGAACTAAGTACCAAGTGTTACCAATGGTTTGAAATCCTTTCACTGAAAGAACAAGAGACAGAATGTAAGCCACTTGAATTATTTTGAGACCTGATGTTATCAGAAGTTTTATAACTGCATATGAATAGTATACTTCTAAGAACAATATAACATTTCAGGAACTTGATATTGATTAGGAAATAAATATTTATTAAAGTAAGTATATTAAATAAATATTTATTTACCAATTTAAGTAAGAGAAAATTTTACACCGTGGGGGCAACAGTCTTGCTGTGAGCAGTCCTGACTACTTAATTGAAAGTAAACTGAGGCCCTGAACTCCGACTGTGAAAGAATGCATTTGGTGAGATATTGGGACTGTGAACCTTAGGTCTGCATTCTAACAAAGTAATTCTTCCCACCTAAGTTTTAACCAATTCTCAAGCAGGAAAAAAGGCATGAGCAGATGTTACAGAGCAGAGGCCCTCTGGTATTATTGGTGCTGCTTCCTATCTGTAGAGGATTTTTTTTTTTTTTTTAATCTTTGCTCAGGACTGGTACAGCTGAAAGTATATTTTCCCTTCATTCTTAAGCCTAGATTTTGAATGGAGTTTCTCTGAGACACTTTTGTAGTGAAATCGTATTCCCTACGAACATTGAAGACAAAAATAAACATCTCTGTGAACAAAAAGATTGTGTGTGGTTGTAATTTTTTAAAATACATAATTTTACAATAAAAATTTTAAAGGTGCTCTAAGCCAAATGTAACCATTATAACGGTCTGCACTTAGAAGGTAGCAGTCAGAAAATATAGCATATATCCTGAGATGCCACAGAATTTCTGTCTGGTAAACTAAGTTCAGTCCCAGTGAAATGCTCCTTTAAATAAACAAGGCAATACAGTGCATTTAGCCAAAGTGTGTGCATAGTAACACAGTAAGATACTGCCTTAAACTGGCCTCTTCCTGACTTCAGTTCAAAGACACATTATGAAATGAGTTAAAATTCTGCAAGCTGAGGGGAAGGGGCTAGAAAGAAAGAACCGGTAGGAATCAGTGCAAAGATGGTTTTCCAGAATAAGTGCCACACAGTCAGTGACAATAGAGTTGTTTAAAAGCAAATCATTCTATCATTATTTCACAGCTTCTGATAAACATACAGTTAGTTTGAAATGAGCATAAATAGATGTGTTTGAAGCCCAATGTAGCAATACACATTTAATTGACTTCCACAGGAATAAATACTTCTTGCCTGTGAAGAACCTAACAAGAAGTCACTTTCAGTGAAAATTTTTCTGCGTGGACTATATTCAGTCTTAACTGGCAGTAGTGATGCATATGGTATGTCATGATAAATAATAAATTGTACAGAACTCTGAAAGTATTGCTTGAACTGGCTCAGAAGTAGTGCAAGAAATCTAAGTGGACAACTTGGGGGTAAGTAGCAGCTTGTCCGATAGGGAATCTACTTCCAAAAGGCCAGGTGGGTTTCACTTACTGGCATGAGTGATTAACTAGCTCTTGGAGCTGTGATGGAAATTGAGATACTCCACTGAGTGCTCCTTCCAAGGCAAAGAACTATGAAAGCATTGATTGTATATACAGCTATTTTGTTTTTAAGGGAATTCTAAGAAACAATTCAGTGTTGAATTGTCTGAACTGTTTATCATTTCTGTTGCTTTGCAACATGATGCTGAGATCCCACAAGCCACTGTTGAAAGAAACTGGTTCCCTCATAAATGGTGTAGCAGTTGGTGGAGTTGCTGGCCCTGAATATATACGCTCATCCTAACTCTGTGTAGGCAATATGTGGAGCTGATGCTTTCTCAGGTGCAGAACACTTCTAATGTTATCTTGTGAGTTCTGGGTATAATCCCAAAGTGCAGGCAGCATGTGATAGCAAAAATAAATACTAAGATTTGTATTAGTAAAAATATCAACTTACACAAAGAGCAGCAATCTTCAATGCATTTGAGATGAAACTGGTATTGATTGGAAATCAGAACGGGGCTATTGTCACTAATTAAAGGACTCTAATTTAGTCCATTTAGTTGTCTATTTTAGAAGAACAGTAGGCATTCAAAAGAGGAGACCAGTTTTAAAGCCCTTCTATTCAGTTTTGTTCCCTCTGTTCACGTTTAGTAAGGCCACTACACCATTATGGGTCTGAAGATCAAATTTCGTGAATTCTGCACACATTTTGGCAGCCGTGGGAGATCACAGCATTGTGTTTGTGCCTGGAGATAGCTTAGTACGGTCTCCAGTTTTATTTTACCCTTTCTTGACTTGAAGGAATGTAAAAGTAGAAGAAATATATCTTTCTAAAGTTGCAGATAAAAGACGGGCAAAGGCTGAGCGATTTGTTAGTGCCATTATTAGTCAGCAGTGCTTGAAGGGCCCTTGGCTGTTGGGGACTGGGCCATGCAGTGCTGCTGCTGCTCACAGGTTTGGCTGCCCCATGTGCAGTGAGACAGTCTGTAATTCCAGTTCCAGTGACATTGGAGATATAGCAGTTAATGTCCATGAACTTCAGTGGAGTGGCATATGGCTGTAATAGGCAAGCTGTCTGCTCACAACAGCTGCTTCTTTGGGCTTCAGACACAACAGTCTACTGTTGATACTACTACTGATACTACTGATACTACTACTGATAAAGTATGAGGATTTATTTGGTACCTAAGCCTGCTATGTAGCTTAGGCATTGGTCTGCCATGTAGCTGTACTGTGCAGTTTTAGAAGGGGCAGCCAGTATAAAAGGAAGTATTTTAACTTCTTCCTAGTAGTTCAAGCACTAAGTATTTTAAACAGATAGCACTTCTGGCTGATCTAATCTGGCTCTGAATTACTAATTTTAGCAATAAAGCAACTCCTGGTGAACAGGATGTGAAGAGAGGGGACCATTAGGAATTTATTGGCATGTCCCTCCATTAGTTTCAGTGTTAAACTCTACTTGGAACAGGATACAGAGCAAAAAAAAAAAAAAAGAAAAAATAAGAAGTTGGCTTGGCCAGAAATTGACTTGATTTTTGAACAGGGGCAAATGGCTACCCTACCTGCCTCACTGCTTCACATGTACCTGGCTTGCAGTGCTGACTGACTTTCAGAGCCCCTGGCAACAATCCCAAGCCTCTATCCTCTTCTAGAGCAGCTGGTGGTTGCGATCTAACCTTTTTTTCATGTTAGCTGTTTGCTAGATGTAGTTTTATTCTCCTAGTCACGGCCATGCAGGCTTTTTGTACTTGAGAATTAGTATGTCATTAAAATACATAAAATATATCAAATATGAAAAAATAAGCTAAATAAAAAAGCAGTGGTTTCCTGTCAGTAGTCCAAGGGTTTCACAAGTTCATGTGTTCCTTCTATGAAAGAGCCTTCAAAAAAAAGAGTAGGATGAGCGTGCATTAAATTCACTGTGTAGAGTCTGCACTGTTACTGTCAAGTGGAAAATGTGGAAAATACCTTTCAAGATTAATTTCAAATTAGTTGGTGTACTTCATCTTCAAAATTGAGCCATAAAGCCATAATACAAAGTTGTTACTGTGTGTGATTAGTTAGTAAGTATTTATTCCATTGCAAGAAAAAAAAAGATGGATTTTACAAGACACTGATGGAGGGAAGAGACTCAGAGCACTCGATGTGTCATCAAACCATAGCAAGACAAGTTAAGGACTTTTAAACTGGAATATTTTTATGAAAACAAACACAGCCATAAAGCCAGGCCAACCTGCCTTATCACTATATTTTCATTCATGATACTTAAGTAGGTATGACTCCTCCCAGGATAGTTTTAAACACTAATAGCTGTGCCAGATGGTTTTTGGAGAATTTTAGATTTGACAAAAGCCCAACAGTGAGAATCCTCTTTGGACGGATCTCTTCTAGTTCCCTATTTGGAAAACATTACAGAAAAAAAAATCTTCAACATGGAAATATACATAAAAAGAAAATTCT